TTAGCCAGTTTTTGATCCATAAAAGGACTTGTCCTTTTATCCCATGATTTTTGAGCTTGCTTAGGAGCCTTTGATGAGGAACTTTATCAAAAGCTTTCTGGAAGTCAAGGTAAACAATATCTATTGGATCCCCCTTGTCCACATGTTTGTTCACCCCCTCAAAGAACATTAACAGGTTAGTGAGACAAGATCTTCCCCTACAGAACCCATGCTGAGTCTGCCTCAGTAGGTTTTGTTCATCTATGTGCCTACTAATTCTTTCCTTAATAATTTAATATTTAAACAGTGAGGCAAACATTCAAGTATTCAGAAGATGGCAGTGACAATCTCTAGCTTTGAAAAGACAAAAGAGTGGCGGGGAGCTTAAATGGCGAACTGGTTTATTGTGTTGGTGGAATGTTCATGTCACCTTGTAATAAGCCAATTAGCCCGGAGCTGCTGGGTCTTTGTCTTTTTACAATCAGATATGCTGAATGAAATCCAATCCCTCAGCCCCACGTTCCAATGGCCCCTTTGAAGAAGGCACCAGCTGAAGGGCAGAGGTACTGAGTCCTGTCATGTCCAAACAAAATGCTCTCCCACCCATGCCTGGGTAAGGATTCATCCCCTGGTTTTAATCTCCCAGGTGGCGGCCGTTCATTCTCTCTTAGCTGATGGGCCAGGGTCAAACTACCAAGGGGCGCTGCTGTTCTGTGTGTGGGGGCACTTGCGCGGTCTTCAGCCCATAAATATTAGTGCATCTCAGCACCTGCAGAGTGTTGGTTGTAGTCTGTTAAAATAGCTCCAATTACCTCCATAATTTCAGGAGGGAAGGGGGGGCACAGGTTTGCACATCTGAGCAAGATTGAAATGCTCATTCAATTTAATTTTAGTGCCCCCCCCCCCCCAATCAGTGCAGGCATGTAGAGTATTGGTTTTAATATTTCCTAATTATAGCAAGCCCAGGCTAGGATCTCCTTTCCTCAGATCTCAGAAGCTAAGCAGGGTAAATCCTTGGAAGGGAGACCATCAAAGAAGTCCAGGGTTGCTACGCAGAGACAGGCAAGGGCAAATTACCTCTGAACGTCTCTGGCACTGAAATCCCTACAGGATCATCGTAAATCGGCAGTGACTTGATGGGCAAAGGGGTAAAAAAACCCCACTATAGCAATGTTCAGGCCACATGCTTTAGTCGCTGGTTCTACACACAGATTTTACAATCGTATCGGTTTGTGTGCAGGGCAAAGGCCCTCGATCCTGGATCAGGGCCTTTGCTGTGCATACAAACTTATCTGATTGTACAAAAGTCTGTTAGTGTGTAGAGCCAGTGAGTCAGCCAGGAATGGACAGCACTTTTGAGGGTAAATGTAATGTGGACTAGAACCGGGGGCAAGGACTGAGTTGCCGCCATAGTCTGGGATTTGAAGAAGGGAGATCGGCTGGAAGATGTGAGTCCCAGACAGGTTTATATGGCTGCGTGTCATTTTAGACATTTAAGCGATGCCCTGCTAGCAGGTGGTGGCCAGGGCCGGTGGTGCTATCCTTAGGTCAGCAATGGGACAGAGAAGAAGGAGGGAGGCGCGGGGGGGGGGAGATTTGTGTGAAGGACAATGAGACCCAGGCAGCCAACGAGAAAAGGCCAGGGTGCTGACGTATCTGTTGCCGGGTCGAAGCCCCAGAATGCAGCCAGAGCAGCAGATAAACGGAGGCGCATGAAGCTGCTGCGTTGTATGGGATCATCAGACCGCTTCTGGTCCATCAGTCCTGGGGGCTGTGGGGAGGGCAACGAAGACGGTGAGAAGTCTGGAGATCAAGGCCCATGAGGGAAGGTGGGAGCAGCTGGGTAGGTTTAGCCTGGAGAGGAGACGACTGAGAGGTGGTCTGATCTGCCCTCTTCAAGTACTGGGCAATGCTTTGGAGGTTTTCATCGAATCATAGAATGTTAGAGTTGGAAGGGACCTTGAAGGTCATCTAGTCCAACCCCCTGCGCTCTGTAGGAGCAGAGCCGAAAGATGGTCATCCAGCAGCAGAGGCTGGAGGGCCACCTGACAGCAACGCAGATTCTGTGAATTTAGGCAGAACGAGAGAGGGAGGGCCCAAAGGGGCTCTCAGAGTGGCCCTCCCTTGCAGGCCCAGAGTCAGACCTATCACCACCCCTTTGGGGTCAGGGGGGACGTTTCCTCCAGGCCAGATGGGCCCAGGGGTCCTGGAGGTCTTTTGCCTTTCCGTGGGCCCAGAGCAGGGGTCCCTGGGGGGAGTGAGAATGGAGATAGCTGTGGATTTCCTGCATGGTGCAGGGGATGGGACCAGATGACTCTAGGCGTCCCTTCCAGCTCTGTGGTTCCTGTGCTTCTAAGGTCAGTCTTGTCTGGTCAGACCGGCAGCGGCTCTCCAGGGTCTCAGGCAGAGGTCCTTCCCATCAACTCCCACCTGATCCTTTTTTAAACTGGAGCTGCTGCCAGGGACTGAACCCGGGACCTTCTGAATGCCAAGCAGAGGCTCTACCACTGAGCCAGGGTAGGCCCCAAGGCAGAAGAGGTAGAGGGGTGAAAGCAAAGGTGACCTGGATCCTCGAAACCTCCTCTGCCTGCCCTTCCTGGGGAGGGGCTGCACGCCCTCTGGACTGTGTGCAAGGGTGGATTGTGAGGGTCCCCCTCCCCCGCAAAGCGGCCCAAGCCAGCCCCTCCTGGGCTTTAGAAAGAGCCTGTCCCCCCAAAAAAAACTTCCAACAGTTGTTTCTTGTGGTGCTCATAAGAGTCCCTCCCACAGTTGGGAGTTCCCAGCGGTTGTACTCCACCCAGGGGACCACGTGGAAATGCCCAAAGTAGCCTCGGTTTGGTGTAGCCTCGGTTTGGTGTAGTTTGGTGCACAGGCTCTAATGTGGGAGAACCGGGTTTGATTCCCCACTCCTCCACTTGCACCTGCTGGTGTGACCTTGGGTCAGTCACAAGTTCTCTCAGAGGAACCATTTTTGATGTATATTTTTCATTACGTACATCTTCATTTGCTTATGAATTATTAATCAACAAAATTCTTTTTTTGGTGGATTGTGAGAGTCCCCCTCCCCCGCAAAGAGGCCCAAGCCAGCCCCTCCTGGGCTTTAGAAAGAGCCCGTCCCCCCAAAAAAACTTCCAACAGTTGCTTGTTTCTTGTGGTGCTCATCAGAGTCCCTCCCACAGTCCCAGAGAAAAAGGCTGTGTCCTATTAAAGGTAAACGTTCCCCTTGCTCGAAAGCCAGTTTACGCTTTATTAGAGTACGAAACTGGTCCACAGGATTATTGCCAGCTAAAGAACGAAGCCGGAGCCCAGTGGGGGCACCTTTAAAACCAACAGAGTCTTATTCTGGGTCGAGGCTTTTATGGGCACCCACACCTCTTCAGAGACACCGAAACAGAGGCCACCCACCATTCCATGGAGGTAAAGGGTGGGGGTGGGGGTTGCCTGGCACCGGCCCTGGTGGTGGCATATCTGTGTGCTCGGAAGTGCACAAGGCCAGGGTGCCTTTGACACCTCTCCCCCGCCCCATGTCGGCACAGGTTGCAACGAGAGCAGGTGGGCAAAGGGCTGACAGGCAAGTCTGGATCTCTGTCGAAGGGTTCTTTGTTTTCTTATTGCTAACTCTGTGTCCTCCAGTATGTGTTAAAGGTAAAGGTTCCCTTGCTCGAAAGCCGCAGTCTGCTTGCCTATGGGGGAAGCTAGCTGTGCTTGGGGAAGGGGCGGCAGTGGGGAGTCCTCCAGGCGGCCCAGAGAGCTGGGGGGGGGTGCTGCATGCCCCACTGTAGCCAATGTGACCCTGGAAACACCAGCTGCCGAGAAGGTGCCTCACATCTTGCCCATCTGCTCTTCCCACTGTTCCTGTGAAGCAGATATTTATCTACGATCCCCAGGTTGTTTGTTTCGGAGCAATTTCACCAAAGTCAATTGGAGTAGTTTGGATGAACATTTGATATGGGAGAAGTAACAAGAGAATCCCCGCAGCTCCTTATGTACTCTCGGGCAGCCATGAGGCGGCTGCCACCACAGGATTTTGTAATGGGGGGGGCTTTAAATTGGGGGGCACTGACATCACAAAATTAAAAATAAAATTTAAAAAACTCACTTTTGCCGCCTTTGCAGTCTGCTTGCCTATGGGGGAAGCAGGCTGTGCTTGGGGAAGGGGCGGCAGTGAGTCCTCCAGGCGGCCTAGAGAGCTGGGGGGGGGCTGGGGGCTACATGCCCCATTGTAGCTAGGGCTTGTTCGTGACCCTGGAAACACCAGCCGCCGAGAAGGTGCCTCAAAGCTTGCCCGTCTGCTCTTCCCACCGTTCCTGTGGAGCAGATATTTAGCTATGGTCCCCAGGTTATTTGTTTCGGAGCAATTTCACCAAAGTCAATTGGAGTAGTTTGGATGAACATTTGATATGGGAGAAGTAACAAGAGAATCCTTGGGGGCAGGGCTATTTTTGGGCAGGAACGCACAGGAACGGATTTGGCTGGCTCCCGAGTTGGCCACGCCCAGCAGGAACTCATTAGCATAACAGGCCACACCCAACAGCAGGAACTCATTAGGATTGGCTACATTAGGGGTGTGTGGCCTAACATGCAAAGGAGTCCCTGCTACAAAAAAAGGCCCTGGGTTTTGTCAACAAACAAGGTAAAGAGAATAAGAAGCAAAAGGTGGGTGTGGCTGGATGACCACACTTCTGGCAACATGGGGGTGCGGCCTAATATGTGAATGAGCTGTGCTGTCAGGGGTGTGGCCTAATATGCTAATGAGTTCCTGCTGGGCTTTTTCTACAAAAAAAGCCCTGCTTGGGGGTATGTAGACCGGCCAAGATCCCAGCCAGGGCCCAGTTCTCACGTGCGAGCTCGGTAGCGCGCCCTCGCCAAGTCCCGCCATAAAGGGGCGTGGGAACGACTCCGTTCGCCTCCCGATTTCGGTGGCATTTCTTCTCTCTGCCTTGGTCAGTGACTTGGAACGAGTGGCTGGGTGAAGCAGGAAGAGCACGGAGCCAAACCAGGAGCCAAAGAAGGGCCCGCGGATGGGGCCGGGGCTGCTGCTCAGGGCACGGCAGGTGGCCAGATCACGCTGCTTTCCTTGTCCCTTCTGCCCGGCCCAGCCGACTGAGCAGGTATGGTGTGGAAAGAAGCACCCAGCTGACCTTCCTCCTCCCGCCTTCGACCATGCTTGGCAGAGGGCACCCCCGAAGTCCTCTGCAGGTGGCGAACAGGCGAGCCTCGCCCACCGTGAGAGCGAAGGCGGGTGGGTGGGGGGAGAGACTGGCCAGCCTTTGGCGCCCTTCCCACCCAGCCCCACGTCCCTGCCCGGACGCTCCCGGGGTGCCCGCCCCGCGGAGG